ATGGTGATGTGAATTCTGGAATCTCATGTTGCAGGATAAACGCGGTATCGCCTTGGTAAACCTGTACAGCATTAGCATGTCCTTGAGGAAGAGTGGTTAGCCGATGAGGACCCAAAGGCGTTCCAAAGGTCGTCAAGTCGCGCGAGTCTACATGAAGCGCGCGCTGGTCATAACCTGAATATAAGTCCAATATTGCGTACACCGCGTAACCAGCGAACACTTCCGTGAGAAGTTCAACAAAAGGCGGAAGCGACGTGTCGCGAATTGTTACCGCATTGAGCGGCTGCAAGTCGTGAACTAGGCGCAAGGATCTTCCATCTTTCTTTACTATGCAAAACCAGCGCGAGCGATACGCGGCCGTTGATGGCTCATATACTCCCGATGAGATATTCTCCTTGATGATGCGTACTACTTCATCTAAGGTGACTGGCGGGATCGGAATATTGTGCTGAGACCATGGCGTGTGTGGGACCGTAGGAATCTTGTATGGCAGAAAGTAGGTCTCGTTGAGGTGTCCGCACTCTGAGGCGTCCCATGCAAATGCGAGTTCGTGTACGCGCACGAGCCAGCGCACTAACTTGAGTTCTTCTGGCCATAGCCAATTTGCTGGGTCCAGGTCTAGCTTATCTGCGCGCGCCTGTGTAAAGTGCACGCCCGGCGTGAATTCTGGGGGACGGGTAGGTAAATCGGGTAACCCTGCTAAAGGGTCTTCTGGCAATTGGCGCACTACCCTATACTCTGCGGGCATAGTGGTAGGTACTGTGCGCACTTTCTTCGCGACTGGTTTATAGACCAGCGCGTGAAGTACGGGATCATAATAATAAAAGGAATTAAAGGTGTCGATAGTCGCCTGATCTATAACGGTCTGCGTGGATGTTAGATGCGTGTAACACGCTGAATACTGCGGAAGCGAGAATGAAGAAAATTGATGCATAGAAACTAAAGGCGATGCGTTGTTGCTCCTTAAGAGCGAAGAATGGGACGCGCTATCTGCGGCGCGTTAGGCGTGATGCGATAAGGAAAATATTTAGGAAGACGAATGCATATGGGCTTCTCCCCACGAATGTTGCAGATCATCGATACTTAAAAACCCTGTTCCTCCTCCTTGAGTGCGTGACTCGCGCACTTCGCATCTCTTGCGAGCTGTCCCTTGACCCAAGGTAGGGTTGGAATGCGCAGTTCTTTGTGCGCATTAGGATCAGTTAGTATGAGATCCTGCTCTCCGTCGGGCAGATCAAATGTGCGACATGAGGTAAGCTTAAAGAATGGGCGTCCTAGTAAAACTTCAAAGGTCGCGCGCTCGATGACCTGGACTTGGAAGTATAAGGGTCCTGCGCCAAAATCAAGCGGGACGTTCTCTATGACTCCTAGCGTCGCGTCGCGTGACGTGTTCACCAATTCCATATTGAGGCTATGGTCTGACCTGAGCGGTATGCTGAGCTCTTTCCATACTTCCCTTGGCATGACTACTACTTCCACGCCTTGATCTAAGACGCAGGTGAGAGTGCGCCCTTCCAATGTCTTAGCGCGAATACAGCACAAGGGCGCGAAGTGATCCGCGACGATTTTACCGTTGTCGCTTCGCATGCGCACATCCTCGTATTGCTTTAGCCATTGGTCGGTCACGGGATGCCCTGATAATTCGTGCACCGATACTGCGCCTACTGTGACGCGCTTCTTGGTCGTAAGTTCGCAGAAATGTTGGCGAACATCGGGAGATACAGCTAATAATTCCCTTACTGGGATATTGAGATTGGAATCGAGAAGGCGCTCTACAACACGTTTGTCGGCCTCCTTGTCTTCGAGCGCAAATGCATAACAATATGATGATGACTGTGCTGGTGCTTGGGTTGGTGTTGATGATGACGATGGTGGCAATGCTGAAGATTGAGATGGGGATGACGATGACGACGATACTGGCATGGACGATGATGGTGTTGACGACGAGGGCAAGGTGCCCTTAGGAGGCGCCTTGGCGCTTGTCGGCGTGCTTATTGGCGCGCTTAATGGCACTACTTTCGCTACTTCCTTTCCTTTACCTTTGTCAGACGAAGCTTGTATTTCGGGAGAGATTATCTCCTCCTCTACTGTGGCTTGCTTAGATGCAGGTCTTGGGCGCGTGCGCGTTTCGCTGGGTATTTCTGCACCATCGAAGCGCACATTTTTACCTTTGGCATTGCGCTTCTGGTCGCACCTTGCAGCTACATAGGCTATCGCTTCAGTCATAAGATCCACCGTGTCATCATCCTCATCAAGTTCTGTTTGCACGACTGTGTGCACGAACGCAGATGAGCCTACTTCAATTACCGCGTCGATCTCGTCGGACGCACGATTGAATAGTCCCGCTGTCGCACCTGCACTGGTGGTCGTATCCAGTGTCGCGCGACTTGCGTGATGTCGATCTAGTCGTTCCTTGAGTAATCCTCGGCCTGGAATCCAGTCGCCATTTGGAAAAACAAGCTTGCGCGTCTCTTCGCTAACCTTACATTTACCCACATCAATATACCTTTGTTTCTCCGCGCAACGAGGGTAGTAATGTTCGAGACTGCCGCAAAAGGCGCAGTCATTGAACGTTGCTGCTTTGCGCTTATATTTGCGCTTGGTTACTGTACCTTGCGCGGGTGATTGCGCTGATGTGGTAGCTGTGACTAAGTTAGTGAATGACATTGTTGTAGGCGTGCTAGGCGTCGCGCTTGCTGCAGGCGCATTTGCGGGCAGAATGAAATGTCCAGCTGTAAAGACGTCCATGAATGGGTATGGATCCTGCGGGTAGTGATCAGGAATTTTGATCATGAGGCGTGTGCGTATTAGCGCCTGAGTATCCTTGGGAATCCCTTCCATGCATATGCGATCACGCTCAGCTTTACCAATGCGATCTTCTGCCAATAGCGGTTGCATGACCTTCTTGAATGCGCGAAGGTAGTTGCTTAACTCCTGGTACGAGGGCATCGTCTTGTTCGCATATTCGTGCGCGATGGCTTGTAGATCCGAAAGTGTGTAGCGCCTTTTGCCATCCCATCCGGGATACATTACCTTGACCTCTTTCATGAATGCGTTGTAATCGCTTACTTGCGCCTCCGGCATTCCGCCCCATAGTTCTCGGTCATCACGCTCAAGGTAGCGGATGATACCCTTAATACGATCGAGACCTTGTAGACCTACATCGTCAGCAAGCTGCTCGTATAGGTCGATAAAGTCGGCGAGGTTGTCGGTTGTGCCATCAAATTTAGGCGCATCTGTTGTTCCACGGACAGGCATTCTGGTTCTTACTGTGGACATGACGGACGGTTGGGAAATTGCAGGTGCGGGGATCTTGTGACTGACAGGTGCTTGGCGCGCATACGCGAAGGGAAGGTTTGTTATAACGGTACCGCCTGGAATTGAGAATGGCGCGCGTGGGGTTTCTAAGGCTTCTTGCTTGATCTTCGGTATTCCCGTTGTAGGAAGCGCATTCTCGCACGCGGGTACTACTGGCGCGTTAAGTGGGGTGTCGCTAGAGTCGTCAAGCTCGGTTAGCGCGCTTAGCGCTGATAGGTTAGAAGTATTAAAAGGAGGTTGATTGGGCGTGTGGAGGAATGCTCCAGGAAGTTGGCTTCTTGGGTTATCTATTGCTTCGAAGCCGTCGGACGACTCTTCCTTGACGGATTCTTCAGGCGAGGGCATGACTGGCAATATCAGTTGTCTAGGCGCGCGCGCGAAGAGCACTGGATCTGGTCGCGGTGGTTCTGATATATTGCACGAACGACCGCACGTGTGTTGAATGAATAAGGGTCCTGGTATAATGGATTCTACCGCTCTGTCGAATGCGGCGATGGCTTCTTCTCTGGCTATGCGGCGACTGTTGGGTCTGAGGCGCTGACCTTCTATCTCAGAAGTGTCCCTCGCGGTGGGCTCCAGTTGTAGATGAGGAATCTTGACTATACGTGAAAACACTTAAAACAAAAGGGTGCTCAACAGCAAGACCGGGATACGAGACAACGACTCGACCCAAGGGACAACCACTGAGAGAAGTTCCTCGAAATAAAGTGGAGGGAAACTCTATGAGCTAGGCGGGCGCTAACAGGCGCAAGAAGATAACGCACGCGAAGGCGTGCGTATGTGAGGCAAAGGCACGCAAGATACACGCGTGAGCGGGAGGTTCGAGAATGCGCGCGTGCGAAGCGAAGGCGTGCCTTGAGCGTTTAAGGGAAAGGTCCTATTGAGGAGTGAATGCCCAGATGGATGATTGATAGGAGAATAAGATCTTATAACAAGAGAGGAGGTGATCTATACACTTTCCAGTACACAAAGATAAGGGAAAAGTAAGTACCAGAACCAAAGGAAACCCTTCTGTATTTAAGAATGGAGATTACGCTAAGTGGCGCGCTCCCGAACCGAGTAACCATATCAACTCTAATTATAACTAAGTTTAAATAGACTTTCTATATGTAGCGCGGACGTCGGACCAAAGATTTTATTAGTTCAATGGACAAGATAGGAATAATGCACCAGCGAATCAGTAAGGACATGGAACGAATGGACGGACAATAGCGCGAAGACCTAGGAGAAGGCACGCGAAGCGCACATAGCGCTTGCGCAGGTAAGGCGCGCCTAAGTGCGTGCGAGTATGGATAAGGCGCGCCTAAGTGCGTGCAAGTAAGGAGAGTAACCATATCAACTCTAATTATAACTAAGTTTAAATAGACTTTCTATATGTAGCGCGGACGTCGGACCAAAGATTTTATTAGTTCAATGGACAAGATAGGAATAATGCACCAGCGAATCAGTAAGGACATGGAACGAATGGACGGACAATAGCGCGAAGACCTAGGAGAAGGCACGCGAAGCGCACATAGCGCTTGCGCAGGTAAGGCGCGCCTAAGTGCGCGCGAGTACGGATAAGGTGCGCGCGAGACTGGTCCTTAGGATTAGAGCTGTAGCATATAGGAATGTATGGGTAAAGGCCGGATATTCGGCATTGAGACACGCGAGTCTCTACACCGGGGCAAGACCAGCTTCAGAAATACAAACCCCTGCTTCACGAGCAACTCAAAATCAGCACAGCAGTGGGCGACCCAAATGCCCGAGGTCAACGAAATGAATCTTTGGCTTGGTTTTGGTCTGTTGAAGTCGACCTCGGGGGTCCTGATCAATCGTGGAATGAGGAATGTGAGTTTCTGCTTGCATGTCATATCCAGTGGTTACCTGACTGGACCCATGCCAAGTTTACTGAGTCCATTGGCTGAGGGCAAAGGCACTATGGGATCAATGGAGGGAAGAAATGCTATTGGTCAAATTGGAGATGGATTGGACATGTAAGTTCTTTTTGTGGAAAACAACCCAATGGGGCGACCACATGCAGGAATCATTGGAGAAACGACTTCCGGGTCACGGATGCTACACTGGAAGGCAATCCCAAATGTATTCATTGCTCACACAGGATGCGCAGGCAGCTTTTCAAGACCTACAAAATGTGTTGATAGAGGCTGGAGATGAATGAACATTGTTTTCTCATGAAGTCCCTTTTTCCACATACACAATTGAGGCCCGGGAATTATCCGGGTCAGCCCATGTCGGAGTTTGAATTTCGTATCCATCCATCAGTGATTCTTATCTTCACATCTTCACCATCTTTCACTTGTATTGTGTCACGAGTTCCAAATACAAATCATTATTCATTCCTTAATTCTAAGTCCTTTAAGCGCCCAGTCACAGCGCCTGTTCCTAAGAATGTGTTTACTGTTGAAGAAGTTCCTATTATTGCGACTATTGTAGAATTACCAGAATCATGTGATCTATCGGACAATGCCGAAGATGTTGATGTCATGCCTCACGACACTCTTGGAATGTTCCAGAGTCTTACTGCGGCTGCGGCACATCTTATGACATCATAGTTATATATAGAATCGTACGATACCTTTAATTATTTTAATTGGTTAGTTAGTTCATACTCAGTTTCGATCTCAGTTTCAATATGTGTATATAGGTAGCTCATCGTAGTCAGTAGTTCTTTAGTTCAAACCTCTTGTATCTCCAAGTGAGCAATACCAAGACGTACCTGCTGCCTACCTTCTCTGCATGATTATTCTTTGTTTGAGTCCTAGTCTCTGCCCAGCGTTAATTCATTATTGGGTTGTGACATTAGGTTTGAACTATAGGAGACTCCAACTCTCGTGTTACACTCTCGCATCTCTCTTTCTTTCGCCTGGTCGTGTTGGAAGTCATCTTCACACCATCAGCCGAAACAAAGCCGTTATACTTTTGCCCGGCCTAAACCGCCGCGACCTTTTGATTTCATCCTTTTGCTCATTTGAGCGCATTTTCATACCTATCATTTTTCGTAATTAGTAGTCCTATACCAGGCCCTGTCTTACCGCAGCCACCAGTATACGGAGGTGTTCACGACATTAGGCGTGTCACTGCAACTTTGAGTGCTGGCCCAAAACCCTGCCTGCTCAACGTTACTATAGTTTCATTTTACCTATCCTTTTCTTCTTTACGCACGTAGGCATTTGTTTCGAGTCAATAGCGGAACTGTCTAGACGACAAACTGTGCTTTAGACCTACAAGGATTTAGAGACATACCCTAGTGAGACTCGCACTTGTAAGCTTCAGCTGGAAGAGTGATAACTTGTCCTAGGCTTGTATCCTCAGAACGGAGATTGCATTGTCCCTAGTTTTTCCCACTCGATCGAGTATAGTTTACGTATCCTTTTTAGTTAGTATTAGGGAAGCATCGGTTGGGTTGATTAAAGAACCCTTCGATCCTGAAGTACGTGGTAGATCCGATCAGATATCGGGGACCGCTTCAGTTTTCCATTACATAACTTTCTTCTTTTCACCATCATTCCCTTCCGGAAGAGCCCTTACGAGCAGCTCTTCAAACAGACATCAGTGAATCGGGTTCCAGAACACAACTGGCACTATGTCTGAATTACCAAACTCTCCTACACAGTCTGCACCGACGGTGGTATTACCATCTACTCCACAGAAAATTGTCGAGTACATCCATATGTCACTTGCAAACCAAGCAGACAGCTTTAGGGTCAGGATCGCGGAACTAGAAGCTAAGAATGCAGCTCTAGAAGAAGCAAACAGACTCCTGGGTGTACGTCTGGAAATGCAAGAAGATGAGACTGTGAAAATACAGTCTCAACAACCATCATTCGGCTCTGCAGGAGCTAGTCTACTATCATTGAATTCCTCCCCTTCCATCAAATACTCCAAACCCCAGGACTTCACAGGAGAAAAAGACTCCATAGAACTCATGGTCTGGATATCCCAAGTAGCGCTATACACTGCGCAATGGCCCAACATCCAAGAAAGCCAAAGAATTGGAGTAATGCTCTCCTTCATGAGAGGTACTGCAGCCAAATGGGCGCAACCTTATATTACCAAACTTGGAAAGACCGGAGATGAAAAGTTAACCGTGGAGAAATTCCTGGAAGACTTAGAAGCCATGTGGGGGCAAGAAGATCGTGAAGGAAAAGCGATCAGAGAACTGGAATCCCTTAGACAAGGATCTTCCTCAGTTCCAGAGTATGCAGCCGCTTTCAGACAAAAGGCTGCACACACTTCATTTTCCGATTACGACCAGAGACAGAAGTTCAGAATGGGACTTCAAGACCGCATCAAAATACAGCTTGCTCATGTCCGTTACGAGGACAAAAACACCATGAAGAAACTGGTGGAACATGCGATCCAAATCGGACGCAATTTCTGATTACGCAACTGGAGCGGTTCTATCTCAACTGATGGAAGATGACCTATGGCACCCCGTGGCGTATTACTCTAAGTCAATGAACGATGCAGAAAGAAATTATGACATCCATGACAAAGAGTTACTCGCAATCATTCGAGCGTTGGAGGAGTGGAGGCACTATGTGCAGGGAAAACCTCACCATGTGGAGATCTGGACGGATCATAAAAATCTCGAGTATTTTATGATGAGCCAAAAGTTGACGAGAAGGCAAGCCAGATGGAGTCTGTTCCTGGCGGAGTATGAATTTACGCTCCAACATAAGCCTGGTGTAGTCAACGATAAGGCCAATAAACTTTCTCAGAGAGAAGACCACAGAGGGGGGTAGAAAATGACAATTCAGATCGTATTTTGTTAAAACCAGAGTTTTTTACTGTAAAAGCTGCCAAAAGAGGTCAAGTTCTAGTGCAAGGAGAAAAACAATTGCTGAGAAAGATAAGGCAATGCACAGAACGAGAGCCTGAAGTCGCTAAAGCACTACAAATGCTAAAAGCAGCACTGGTACAATTGCGTAGAGGAGTCGAAGAGTGGAATGTAGAGGATGGATTGGTGTTATTCCGAGGACTGGTTTACGTTCCAAACGATAAAGAGATCCGCTGAGAGATATTGGAGTTGTTTCACGACTCTCCACCGGCTGGACACCCTGGACGTGCCAAAACCTTAGAATTGATTTCCAGAAATTATTGGTGGCCTTCAATGACGAAGTATGTCCACGATTACATAGATGGCTGTGATAGATGCAGAGCAACGAAGATTCACCCAACACAACCACATGGTCCGCTTAAACCAAATGAAATACCAGCGGGACCTTGGCAATCAATCACTTGTGATTTGATAGTAGATTTGCCTAAAAGCGAAGGGTTCAATTCTATTTTTGTTGTCGTTGATCGATACACGAAACAAACGCACATCATGCCTACGAAAAAGGAAGTTGACGCTCGAGGAATCGCGAAACTTTTCTTAGATAACGTATGGAAACACCATGGAACTCCGAAACAGGTGATATCGGACAGAGGAACACAATTTGTCTCCAAGTTTATGGGACAAGTGTCGAAACGCCTAGGCATGAAATGGAACATGTCTATGGCTTATCATCCTCAGACAGACGGACAAACAGAGAGAATCAATCAAGAAGTAGAGCAATATCTGAGAATGTTCACGTCTTACCACCAAAATGATTGGGTAGACTGGCTTCCGATAGCAGAATTCGCTCACAACAACTCTGTCACTGTAACGGGTCATAGTCCATTCAAAGTACTCTACGGATACAATCCTGAGTTTACTTTTTCACCAATTTCCAACTCTAAAGTACCTGCAGCTGATGAACGAGCGGATGTAATGAAGGAGGCGAAGGAAGACGCAGAAAGTATGCTACGAATGGCGAATGAGCGGATGAAGAGATTCTATGATAAAGGAGTAAAAGACGCACCACAATTCAAGAAAGGAGATCTGGTCTGGCTCAATGCCAAAAATATCTGTCAGAAAAGACCAAATAAGAAACTCTCTGATCGACGACTTGGTCCGTTTGAAGTGCTAGAGAAGACGGGTGACATAAATTACCGCCTGAACCTTCCAGCAAAATATCAGATTCATCCGGTATTCCATGTAGAATTACTCACTCCACATTCCCCCTCGACCTTAGTCCAAAGACCTCCACATCATTGTCCGCCGCCAGAGATCTTATCAGAAGGCGATTCCGAATAGACAGTACGAAAAGTCCTAGACTCGAGACTGCACAGATCAAAACTCCAATACCTAGTAGAGTGGGAAGGATATCCGATAGAAGAAGCGACATGGGAACCTGAGGAAAACCTTGAGAATGCACGGTTGAAAGTTCAAGAATTTCACCAGCAAAATCCAAAGGCATTGAATCCCCGCAAAATTAACAAATCGGTGTTTGAAACCCAAGAGTTTTTGGAATGGCGCAAGAAGTTTATTCGTCCTAGTTTCATTCGCGATGACGCTCATCCTAGAGAGGGGGTAATGTCACGAGTTCCAAATCCAAATCATTATTCACTCCTTAATTCTAAGTCCTTTAAGCGCCCAGTCACAGCGCCTGTTCCTAAGAATGTGTTTACTGTTGAAGAAGTTCCTATTATTGCGACTATTGTAGAATTACCAGAATCACGTGATCTATCAGACAATGCCGAAGATGTTGATGTCATGCCTCGCGACACTCTTGGAATGTTCCAGAGTCTTACTGCGGCTGCAGCACATCTTATGACATCATAGTTATATATAGAATCGTACGATACCTTTAATTATTTTAATTGGTTAGTTAGTTCATACTCAGTTTCGATCTCAGTTTCAATATGTGTATATAGGTAGCTCATCGTAGTCAGTAGTTCTTTAGTTCAAACCTCTTGTATCTCCAAGTGAGCAATACCAAGACGTACCTGCTGCCTACCTTCTCTGCATGATTATTCTTTGTTTGAGTCCTAGTCTCTGCCCAGCGTTAATTCATTATTGGGTTGTGACATATTGCCAGCGTCATAGTCCTGTATTAGCCATGTCTGCAACTCCTGCATCCACTTCTGGCACTCTGAATCCCGGAAGCCATTACCAACCTCTGAAGCTGAGCCTTGCAACTATTTCCTGCACATTGGCAATGGCTGGATCGCGCGTCCGTGCAATCATCTCTCAATATCGGACGGAAGCTGCCAACAATGGTCTATCTGCTGACCGGATCAAGTATTTTAAAGCCGGGCTGCAATGGGAGATGAATGTATGTCACCACTGCCCTGATGACTTTGTTGGTCAATGCTAAGAATTTGAGCAGACATTTGTCACACCACTCCTGCAGTACTCCGCTTCACAGAATATTGTGTCGGTTCTTCCGGTCCCTGTAGCTTATATCCTTAAGTTGTATCCCATGCTGACCTGGAACACTGTTCCGGACGACGTCTTTTCATTCCACCTCCTTTCATTTCATGATGAGCCAATTGCAGGACATCCATCCCGGATTGTGTTTGCATATACATTTCCATGGTGGATGGGAAACACCACAATCCCTGATCAACCATGGCAGTGGGATGAAATAATGGCTTCCTGCATCTCTCACTACCAGTATTGGGCTGTAAGATCTTAGCTGAATTACCTTGATTGATGACTTATCTGTTTCAGCTTAATGTTGAGGATGATGCTTTGGTTCTTCCAGAGAAGTTGAAAAACACTTCGACTCCACCACTTATGGGACTGAGGTTCATTAAAGAATGCATGGAAGCATTGATGGAGGAGCAAGATCAGGGCATCAAAGCCAAGATGGGAGAGGTGAAGATGTACACTGACATGTTAGAGAAATTGAGGAAAGGCAAAGGAGTGTAGTCCCATTCAGTCTTCATTGTATACAAGATGTAACATATTCTATGCATTCAAAAATCTCACTTCCGAGTCCCGGACGCCCAGGTCCCGAGTCCTGAATTTTGGAGGTTGGGGTTCGGCGACTTGGAGCTCAGCAACTGTGTTGGGTGTCAGGGTATCCAGAGCATTGGAGATAGCATGTGTCAGTATTTTGAGTTTCATGGTTCATGTTTCGTGGTTATGGAATCGGGCGTCAGGGACTCGGTATTGAGAACAGTGTTGAGTCCCAGGTCATGAGCTCCGAGTCCCAAGTGCCGAACCCCGGGTCCCGAGTCCCGAATTTCAGAGGTCAGGGTTCGGTGACCTGGAGCTCGGCAACTCTTGGGTCTGGGGTTCAGGACTCGGGACTCGGAGCTCATGACCTGGGACTCAACACTGTTCTCAATACCGAGTCCCTGACGCCCGATTCCATAACCACGAAACATGAACCATGAAACTCAAAATATTGACACATGCTATTTCCAATGCTCTGGATACCCTGACACCCAACACAGTTGCTGACCTCCGGGTTGCCGAACCCCAACCTCCGAAATTTGGGACTCAGGACCTGGGCATCCGGGACTTGGTATTCAGAACACTGTCGAGTCCAGAGTCCACAATGTCGGGGCTCAGGGTTTTGTCAAATGTGTATGGCAATAACAAATGTTAATTCGAGCGTATTTATACATCTTCCCCCAGTCTCAAATATCACGTGCTGAGGTCCGGGTGTTGGGACTCAGTAACCCGGCACCTGGGACTCCCATATGTCAAGTCACAAGTTCCAATTATTGAATACTGAGGCTTGCATCCAAATTATTCAGTCCCACATATCACTTTGCAAATGCTCAAAATTGAGTATTGAGGTCTGGATAACTATTGGTACATGGTATTCATTTGTTGGAATGTATATAGGTCACAATGCTTGCTCTTTGTTTGATCTTTCACATGCTGTATGGACCATCCACACTAGCCCATCCACATGATGGAACACCAGCGTAAATGTGAACAGCATCCCTCATATACCATGCCCAAGCAATCTGATCCCCTTCCACATCATAAACTCCATGTCTCACAATCCTTCCGGAAAATGCAATCATACAGCCAGAATTGTACTTGAACTCCAGCTGAAGGCTTGGCATTGTCATCCGAGCATTAGAATAGTTCCCCATGGTGGTGAGAATGTCGAAGCATTCAGCAATGGACATGTGGTCTCAATGATGGGGGGTTTCCCGATTGGAAATGATGGAGAGGGTGTTATACACGGATGCCCAGTACTGCAGGGCCTCCGGCATCTGTGGCAGATCCTTGCTTACTGCTATATTTCCAAGGTTTGACAAGGTTCTCAATCCTGCCCAGTACTGCTCAGGATGCATGACTCTGAGTGCCATGGACGCGATGGCTGCTGGCCTTGCAATGGCTTTGAGAATATTCTCGCAGGAAGGTCCCTTCAATGATGCAGATACCTCCGGATCTGACACATTCTTTGAGATTGGTGAGTATGACTGCCAGAATCACCATCCCATCAGATCCTACCTTGTGTCCCTGTTGAAACCATGCCGGAGATAGATTGATGCATCCAGGAGTTGGTCCAACATCTTCTGAGCCCCGGTTGAACAATGTTTGATTAGTTCGCCAATTGCCATCAGCCCTTATACTTTTTTCGAGACTTGGAGCGAGCAAATCGGTGGCCTCCCTGATTTCCTTCTGTAGGTTCCATTAATATTCAATATCCATCGAGTAACAATGTATATTACACACCTGGGTGGTGTCAGTCAGGGCGTCTGGGAGGTACCATGCAATGATGGCACTGGATGCATCGACAATTGTGGCAGGTTCATTGACCAACCTTTTGCCTTCATGGCCAGGAGGACACCTCTCAAGCAACCTCGCCTCTCTATGTTCATTATGCCCAGTGTCCTTCGGGGAGATCAATTTGCTATATCTTGCAATATCCATCTGCATCTGAACTGTCATGCATGAATTTGAATGATAAAACAAAATTTCCGAATCTGCACGAAGACCCACTGGGATTTTTATATGCCTTTATGAGTACATCAGCCAAGCGATCACATGCCATCACCAGATCAGTGTCTAGGTTGGGGGAAGGTATGACTGGGCCTCCTCCAGTCCTCTCTGCCTTGAATTTCTGTTCGGTATATTCCCCTGCTTCATAAGTCACAGTCAGGGCCCAAGTGCGCCAGATGTTTATGTTATCAGGAGGGGAAGGGGAAGAACTGTTCATGCTGGATGTTAATCTTGGGAAATCAGACACTGAATGCTGGATGTCCGGACTTTGGTGTTATAGGGGGTGGAGATAGAGAGGATCAGATAAGGGAGCCTGGGATAATTTTGGCTGTCAAAGCTGTATTATTATCCATTGCTCAATGAAATACTACCTGATTGGAAGTGTGCTGGTCATCAGATATTGGTGGTCAGAACTTGGCATCTCATAGGGCAACACAAGCTTCGCACCGCCATGTTAGGAGATCACCTGATGCTCTGGGAACTTGGTAACTTTGATTTATTACCTCCTCTGATTTGGTTGATGTACAACTACCTCAGCTCCATCATGTCTACAATTATGATACACATGGGCCCACTCATCTATATTTTATACCACCCTCGGCCCACCCGTCTAATACAACATCCCATACAACACCCTCGGCCCACTGGTCTAATTAATATGCATCTGGGCCCCCCCGTATAATACAATATTTTATAATACCCTCGGCCCACCTGTCTAATACAATATTTTATGATACCCTCAGCCCACCCATCTAATTTAATATGTGTCTGGGCCCACCCATGAATGTGATAACAAGTACCTACCCATCTATCTCATACACATCTACCTTAATACACCCATCTGCATAATATCCAACTACCTCGGCCCACCTGTCTACCTAATATTCATGTACATCGGCCCACTCATCTACTCTATATATTCCCTGCATGGGCCCACCCGCCTCCATCGGGAATAATTTGCCTCCCAACCCATCCATCATAGTCAAGGATATTGTTATCCTGGGCCCATGGTCTGCTGGCCCGTATCATACGGGATATTATGCATGTCCGTTCCCTCGTATTATATGGAGATAGGTCACTGTAATATGTGATGGTTCTGAGTACATTCCTCACTCTCTCAAATTTTACAATTCCCTTGATACTTTCCATTCATTTTATGTCAACAAATATGCTGATCATCATGCCTTCGAGATAGTGTCCTGACCGCCACGCACGATAGAGGTGGGTCTTCAATCTAATCCTCAGTCCATTGCCAATGGTCACATCACATGAACTTACACAGACACTCACACAATACTATCATTTCCGCTATTGCCTCATCCTTACCAGTACCCCCCTTCAGAACGACCTTCCCAAACTTTTGGCTCTCTTCAAATCTCTCCTTCCCAAGATCTTCAACTCACAGGGTGCGTCGCACCCTATAATCACCTGAGCTGTATGTGTCTATTAGGTCCTCATACTCTCCTAATTGACGAAGGTCATAGATATCATGAAAGTATCTTCATCTTCACAGTGGTATGGAAACAGAAGAGCGTGCCTTGCATGTACAGCAGTTCAATGCAAAGGATTCAGAGATTAAAGTCTTCATCCTATCAACACGAGCTGGTGGTTCACAAACCTATTTGTGGTTGTGAGTGCATTTACCATGCACTAGTGCACGTTCTCAAGTTGTGTGAGATGTAGATGCTTGCATCAGCTCTAATGGTTAACACTATCTATGCTACGCGTTCTCTATCGTCTGCGATCTCTATCGTCTGCGATCTCTATCGTCTGCGATCTCTATCATCTGCGATCTCTATCATCTGGGATTGCTATCAGAACAAACTCCATTTGATGCTGCAACCTTTTCCTATGCATTCCCACTCCTTGGCCAAGATGATGGCGATGAAGCACTCGAGCAAATAATTCTTGTGCTCAACATCATCAAATTTCACTGCAGCGAATGTTTGTCTTCAATGTAAGAGTTGATGTGTTTCTAACATTCTTGAAAAGCACAGAGCAGTGTGGTGTCCCAAAGATCGTTTGAGAGCAACATGGATCAGAGGGGGATGAACATTGTCTCATTGTCTATTGGGGCATCAGGACTGATCACAATGTATATTGGGGGCCCGATTGGCCTCGCACTGAATATATTTACAGATCGCAGTCACAGATGTCACTATCAAGATTATCAGTAAGTTCTCATTGATTGTAGGACATCCTAACACTCACCATGCCCTACAGTCACACTACCCTCACCGAGAGACATGTTCAGCCACCCTGATTCCCTCAAACCACCTCCTCACTCTTTTCCAGAACCATGGCAAGGTCTCCGCTCCTTCCGCCTTCGCCTCCACCTCCTCTGCCTCCACTTTGGCTCGAATCACCATGTCTGCCTTAAGCGCTGTATCTGTCCAATGGTGGTTTCTCCCTTGTCTGCGATCAACTGCTTTTGAAGCCATGAACTGTACTGATGCCTTGTTAATCAATAAATGGTGCAATACATACTTTTAGCACTTACTACATCAGCAAACTAGTGAAACCTTGTACAGAATTGTACAGAATTGTACAAACAGCACAATCCCACAGCTAAGTGCCTTCTTTACAATCCTGTCACAAAGCCTTACAATCCATACACAAAGGCGCAATATTGACAGACTGGACAGACTAGACAATGTAGACAAACTGGACATTGCAGGCAGACTAGATTATTGTAGACAGATCAAACATGCTGTGCAAACGACATTGTAACGGCTCATAAAATCTACTAAATGATGATATTGATATCCTCGCTGTCTGCTGCACTGTCCGAGTCATTGTGAAGTTCACCTATCATCCCCTCCTCGGCCCATTCCCTCAGCATCTCTTCAAGCTCCACACGACGTTCAGGAATGTCCATCAATTTGTTGATGGACTTTTGCAGTATGTTGAAGTCAGCCCTGCACATATCAGCGGTAAGGTCAGGCACCTTGTCAGTACCACTGTTGCAGAAGCCGGAGAGAACACCCTTCGCCTGTTAAGCATTGATCAGCGAGGAATATAAAAATTGATTAAGGCAAAGCCTACAACCGCGGCCACCAGGATAAGGCTGTTGACAGGAATTTGGTGTTGAAATTCATCAGTTAGCTTGAGCGCTTTTTTACCATTGCCATAGTAAAAACTGAGGCAGGCTTCCTTGAGAACCTGTGACACAAAATTGGTATATTTTCCCTGTAAACGTCAATAATGAATTGTCGCACACCATGAAGTTGCCACTGACCTCAGAAGAGTCAGGGAGCCGAAGATATTCACCGGTCTTAAGGAGCTTAGCTGCTGCTGCACTGACGCGCTCCTTGTGCATTGAGTTGCCCTTCAAAAATATGCCGTATAATTGCTTCGCAATAGATATCATGATTTTTTTGAGTTACATACGAAAGGTGAACAGGTCATCACAGAGCTGTTGGCTCATCAGCGAAGTTCATATTCAAGTTCGGTACTTACTAGTCACGACATCAGCACTTTATACTCCAGAAAATAACCTTTACAAGGACATCAAATTGGAGCAATGTCTGACAGTGCAGGGCAACTTATCTTTGTCAAGCTTCACCTTCTTCGTGTGGTATGTCCATAATACAGCACCCAAAACTTCTTGTGCCAGTACTACCACATCCTGATGAACTGGAAGAGGATGCAATAAAACTACCTGCAACTGCATTTCCAACTTTGCTGCCTGCAGGAAAGCTTTCCAAGATGCTGGATAGAAGCCAAGCTTTGAGGGGTTACCTTGTTGGTTGGCGCACCGCACACCATCTCCAGATTTGCTGCATTGAACAGGTGAGACACTATGAGAGTGAGATCAGCTTGAACTAGGAGCAGGAGAAGGTGTCTGATCTGGCTGAGCAGAATCTCTGGGCAGAGACTGTGACAAAGACCGTTTATGAGAGGAGGGCAGTTTGTGACTGGAAGAAACCATAGACTGAGTTGAAGACCGCTGAAGAGGAGACAGTGTGTGGAAGGAGGAAGAATGAGGTAAGCGTTGAGGGGACTTTGAACGAGTAACAGAGAGGTGTGCAGGTGGACACTCTGGTCGCACATGGGTCAATGTGGTTTATTCAGATTGTGCTCTGTGAGGCGCATGTCCAAGGGCCAAGCGCCCGGAAGAGGAAGAAGTGCATGCTCATTTGAGGGAGAGGTGATGAGATCCCTAATGCAACAAATTAAAACAACAGACCCGAAGTCACAAGAACTTACCTGACTGGGTGAATGCTGATGAGACTTCGAGCCAGCTTCATGTAGATGGGTGGACCTGTGTTTGCGAGAAGACTGGGGCACATATCAGTAATTGTGCATGATAAGCAAAATGAAACACATGCACGTGCTAAATGAGTCAGGGAGGGAGCTTTATGTCATCCATTTTTCATTTGATGGCGTTCAAGGACATTGAAAGTGTCTGTGGCTTCATGATGAGTATCATCGTCCGAGACCTGACTGTCAAAATCCCCCTGGTCGGGATCCATGTGAGTATCTCTGTCTTCATCGTCTTCATCACCATATAAGGCCATGTGGTCGACTGGAGCCCTTGAGCGGACAAGGAGAAATAAAAACTTGAGGAAAAGATACGAGGTATGACTTACTCCTGCGTATCCTGCAACAAACTATCTTCATCTTCGCTGGGTTGATCATTGTGATCCTGCTCATCAGTGTCATTCTCTGACTCGTCACGTTCATCCAAATTCCACATTCTATCCTTCCTCACCTCACGTTCTAAGGATTCACCTACAGCCTTCTTAGAGCTGCAACCAATGGGCTGAGTTGCCTCCCGGGGATCCTGTTTGTCAGTGGAAGATGACTTAAATCCAAACCTATCATCAGGGCCGGCCACACGTAGGAACAGCTGACAATGTTGAGTGTTTGATTGTGAGCCATCGTCTTCAACAGGGCGAGGCAGCGAATTTGTGTCAGCCTAAAAGAATGTTAGCTGAGGTAGTTTGAAAAGAATCAGTCACCTTTTTCTTCCCTTTCTTGAGCTGCTGCGAAGGTGCCATGGGATTGACTTCTGAGTCACTTATTTTGACAGTACCTCTTCCCTTCCATTGCCTTGCTGGGGCCATTAAGATCTCTCCAGCTTTTTTGAGCTGTGCTACATGACCACCAACACCTCGTGTGGACCATTTGCTTCGCCGTTGAGAAGTGTCAGTGTCTTCGGGTGCTGTGTTAGTGACCTTCCTCATCCTCAAATTGTGGGGACTCAAGGACTGTGTAGGAGAAGTGCACCTGGCTTTCTTCCTGGGAGGCATGGAGTGAACTTGACAAAGTTGGAAGTTGGACCATCCTGAAATATAATAAAGGAACTTATGTAAGTGAGGAACAGTATATTGTGCAAAGCACTACATTTAAATAACAATATAAGATCAAATGGAGGACGAAGGACAGGTGGAAGATGAAGGAAAAAACTACGGAAATACAAGATTTAGGTAGAGCTCATGATTAAACGAAGAATAAATGAGAAAATATGAGATATCAGACTCAGATGCAGTGCGCTCTACAGATGTATTCAACAAGAGACACCCTGAACCAGTCAACTAGCATTTGACAGGTACCGTCTTCAAGTGACAAACAGCTAAGGAAAGATCAGGAAGCGACTGCACGACAGTTGGCGCACCAGCAGGCACAGATGGTGGTACAGGAGGTACTGTCTGCGATGCAGAAATGGTTGCAACCTGCTGTGATGTAGATGCAGGAGGAGGAAATGGAGTGATGGTTGGTTCTGGTGCAGATGGAGGTGCTGGAAGTGCAGGAGGAGGTATCTGAGCAAGTTGCTGACTGATCGTACTTATGCCCTGTGTTAGAATATCACAGATTTTATTGTGAGACACGGGAATTGACTGAGTACTTGCGAGAGAAATCTCGCAATGCCACTCTTCAAGGAGGGGGCAGCAGAGGATAAAGTACAGGGTGATAAGCAGTGGGTCAGCCATACCATGGATGAATTCCCACTTCCAAATACTACTGATCACGAGACCATCTTGGGTCATCTTCTCATAGGAGAGTGCCCACCTCCGAACGGCATCCCATCGCAAAACTTCTTCACTAGGTCGGGGGGCCAGTGCACCCTTCAGTCTTATATACATCACAGTGAATTCGAACAGGATGTAACAAAGTGACTCGAGATTGTTGCAGGGCATATTTTGGACCAAAAGGCCATCTCCCATTAGGCGGAGAATGTGAAAGGATATGTATGGTACAGTTCCCTATAAAGAATGAGGTTAACACCAGCAGAAATAAGTGCGACATTGTGACACACAGTACCGCGTGGACTTGGATCTGCTTTCCCATCATCACTGAGAAACTTTGCATGGTCAAAGTCTATAAAATAGCCTTTTCCTTCGTAAATTATAACATTGTTAGGGCTGAGGTCTCCGTGAAGGACATGTCGGCCTACCATTGCCTTGTGGGCTACAATTCATGGTGATTACAGAGGACATCAGGTGATTGTGAAAGAAACTCACCAACAATAAGGTCACAAAAAACCCCGATTAACTCAGGTACATTATTGAAGTGCGTCAATGGCACCCCACAGGGTGTTAAGAGAATACACTGATGAATTTTTTTCTCGAATTTGAATGTCGAGCAATGACTACGAATGTGCGAAGTGGAGTCGGGCTTCCCATTATAAAGCACATCCCAATATTTCTTGAGTTGAGCAATGTTTGGGATGCCTTTGACCGCTTTGAGAAGCTGGATCTCGACGTCTTTGACATCCTCATTGACCCAACAATCCTTTGGTGCGTAATCCTGATTAAACTTGTCTCGAACGCAATAGCAGATGGTTCCACGCTTGAAAAGTCCACAGCTTTTCCATAGAATATCCATAATCCAGTACACATCTCCATCGTTGTCATAAATACAGCCTATTGCCCCAGGAAGCATAGCATCAAAGCTGCTCAGTAAATTAGCGCGAGTTGGAATGGTGTTGCAAGAGTTGCAGATATGGATTGTTGGATCAAAGCCAAGGGAAGAGCGATTTGCTAAAGTGATGGTATTCAACATGTTGACAAAATGTACAGGGGATGTAACAATCAAGAGTGGTTTTGAGATCACCATGCCGGAGTGATCCATATAATGGGCACAAAGTTTAAACTTAGAGATACTAAAAAGTAGGATGAAATGACGCCATGGTTGCTCCTGCATCATCAGATAGCCCTTGGTAGTAATCCTCAATAACAAAGGTATTTTGCAATTGACAGAGAGGTCAGATTGGGTGATCTCAACTCCTGTGAGGATGTCTTTCCAGGACTTTTGCGAGAAACTGAACTTTCTGAGCCTGTAATCCAGGAGGATGAGATCAGGCTTCTGTGAATTGGTAGCATCTGGTATGGGATTGGTGGCAAATTCTGAAGACCAGTACCAGAGATCTGCTATCTCTGTGAAGGGTAAAATGTGCGAGCGCTAGGTTCCCGAGCACTGCGATGACGAGGGCTGCAATCCATCAACATTGCACTCTTGGACTTGCTCCTTGAGCAGCTTGCGTATGTGATAGTATACCGCCTGGAAAAGACGCTCCCAATTCTTTTCCTCTGTTTGTCCTACAGGCTTTTCTCTTTTCATTCCAGCCTTGACAAAAGCCTGCTGCCCCAAGCTGCCCTCCATCTCTAGCATGGAATCCCCTTCAATTTCTATGTCAGTATCTATCTGCGACTCAGTCTGAGCTGCCTGCAACTGGGAACACCTAGCTGGCACCTTGTGTTTCTTCTGAAAAGCATTCTTGAGTTGCCATTCCTTATTGAAAATGGGAGCCCCATGTATCTGAGTTTGGCTTCCCGGTACTTGTTTGATGTAAGTGATCCTCTTGATTTCCGATTTATTGAAATTTGATAGAGGAATGAGGATTTTAAGGATGGAGGTCTTAGGCTGCAGGTCCTCCTCCCACAGAATCCGGGGATCTTGGTCTTGCAGGCCCAACTCACTTTTCATGAGTATATCCATTCCGTCCTTTGTGCGACATACAGGATGGATCGTGACGGTGCTGACAGCCACTAGGAGATAGTTGGTGAAAGATGTTGACATGGGGGGCAATTTGTTGTCCTGTTGTCACTGGCGGTGTGGTGCTCTTGTTCTTTCAGTAAGTTGTTCTTTTAGTAAATTATACAGAAATTGATCAATTTGATAATATTAAAATTGGTAGTGCATTTACCCGGTTTATACTATAGCATGTGATACGTGTTCTGCAGCTCATTTTCAAAGAGCCCTTAGTGTGCATTTGAAACAGTATGTAGCAATGGTATCCGAAGCTAACTATTGGGGGTAGTAGCACAGTGAAGTGCGTAATAAAAGTCCTTATCAAAATATTTGTTCAAAAAAAACTCTTGGGAGTAATGTGTAGATGTAGCCAAAGTCAATCATACATCCCCCACATCCCCCAGGCAAGGGATGATACTAATAAATGCACGGAGTTGGCAAAGAGGAATGATACTACCGATAGGGGTACCATCTGCATGCTTTGCACGCTTCAACACATGCATCCCAGTGGCAGGATTGCAGGGGCCACTGTTCAGACGCCACACATAACAAAGGTACTGATCTTGCCAAGCGATACGAGAACCTCGACGATGGATTGGGCGCATTATGAGGCATAATTCGCAGATAGTGTGGCCTTGGGAAAGTGTGTTGATTATATACATTGACATATATGATGAAAAAGGACTCACCTGATAGACCTGATTTAGGCCAATGATATGCGGTATCCACATTGACGAGGATGGCGTCCCGTCGACCTTTTGGCCACCCAGGGCCAGGAGGAGAGGCATAGATAGTTTGAGCCAGCAACACGATATTGGGATTATGGAAAAAAAGACGTGTGCTGGAGGTGAAACGTGTCCTATAATTGAACGCAGTCGAATGGAAGGATTGGTAGACGATCAATCAACAGTCTCTGTCTTGGACCCCCCACCCCATGAACTATTCCTCTCTCTCTCTCGCATCATGCTGTAAGAAGCCCGAAAGCGCAACATGCAGATCCGGTAGGTTGAAGTCAGTACTGACATCATCAACTTTGACTCTCGTGCGAGATGGACTGTAGTTGAGGTGGATGGCAGTGTTTTCAGCAATAAATGTTCGAGGAAGGATACTGGAATCGCGTCTCACAGTAGCCATTTGCCTGGCTTTGTGGAAATAATTGGTCACAATGCAAGTGTGGTTCATCTCCTCAAGGAGTGCCATTCATGGATCGTTTGTTTCCTGTTCATCTCCATCGTCCAGGTCATCCTCCTCAAGAATGTCTTCGGCCCTAAAATTAGGATCACGGGATGCGGGATGGCTCTTGAGCGATGTGGCAATTGCGAAATGCCACAACTTCTCCTCCCAGTCGAGGTAGCGACAGATCTGCGGGTCATAATCATTATGATTTGTTTGCCAGGCAGGTTCCTTGATTTCAGAAATGTGTGCATGCTTGGTAGCGTCTGCAGACCACTGTATGAGGGCGCCAACTTTGCATGTGCTGGATGTGACGCTCTGTAGGAGCTCAAGCTTAGGAATATGCCAATTTTAAATAGGTTTCTTTGTGCCCATCCACGTGCCTAAGGTCAAGATAATGTCTTTGTGTTTGTGAAAGGTTGACAAAGATCGGTCAATACATGCCAAGATATCATCATCGGGTGCAGGACACAGCGCTAGGTAACGAAGATCCATGAGCGCATGGATCGCAATGATAAAACAACGAGGGGCTGCACCGGATATTATGCCAACAATATAGCGCTGAATATCATGATGACCCCTACCTGTAGCTTGTTTCAGTTTGGATATTCCGCCAGAAAAGTGGCAATAGCCAGTAGTCGGCTGTAATATCGAGAACCGAAAATTCAGTTCCTGAGCTCCAACAACCATGATACACCACTGAAGATCGTGGTCATAAAATTCTTTGTGCCAATGGTGCAATGATTCTGGCGTCAGAAAGATGGAGGGATCTGCGAGTGGCCAATCCATCCAGAATGGTGCATACATGCCGTTCAGCTGCGAGTCAGCACAAGCCTCAAAATAAGCCTCCAGGTCATCAGGATTGACCATGATGTTAGCAAGCTGTCCAAGAGTGATGGAGCGCGTATGAGCAGGGTGCTGGAAATTATCCCCAAACTGCAAATATAAGGCCATGGTGAAAGGAGAGGTCTTTCCATACACACATGCAAGCATGGCCGCCTCTGGGGTATCAACAATGTATGCTGTGAGAGGGGTAAAGCAATGGTGGATATTTCCTACCGGATCGGACATCATAATCCCAACTTCAGCAGCTTTCATCAACGGCTTTAAAATGATCGAAAGGCATTCATGGACGAGACGGTCTTCAAGCATGCCCCACATTCATTGATTGGGATGTAGATACTTTGGAATTGGAAGGAGAGCTGTGAGCAAGAAAGCCTTAGATGAGAGTTTTGTGCAGGTACACATGTGGATATTGGTGAGGCCTAGAAGAAGAGGGTGGGCAACCCTGGCACCAGTCATGGTGGTGATGTTAGTTTTGTCAGATGAAAGAATGGTGCTGAGAACTGTAGCGCCTCTGGGAAGTCGTGTCTGCAAGATATATGGTGAGATGACGCAAAATTCAGCAGAATCAGTACTTACTTGCATTTCCCAAGCAGAATCTCCCATTAACCATTCCAAATATACACGAAAAAGCTGCTCTGCTGTTTTGTAAATGCAGCGAGGGATGAAATCAAGCTTGTTGTGAAACAGTGGATTACTGAAAAGGCTCTCCAAGCATTCCACAGGGTCCCTCCAAAAGAGTCGGATTGGAGACTTGGTAGGATGGATGGAGGAGATAGTCTGGCATTTCCAGCTTGGTCTGCTAGGGAGCATTTCAGCATGGCTTCGTAGTTCTTTGGTGTTTTTGAATGAAAGCTGCAATCCTTGGACCTGAAAACAAGAAGTGTAAGTTGTGGTTGATGTATCAATGCTCCAGCCTGAGGATGCAAAGAATACACACCATTGAAAGCTTCAAAAATTCATCTATTGCTGCCATGCTGAGGGACAAGCACAGGATATAATCGGCAACTTACCACTCTTCTTTGGATGCGAAAGGATAGTAGAGGTTGTCTACCCTGCATTCTGCATATTCATCGGCGTCAAATAAATACAAGAAGGTCGAGCTGTCTTGAGAGTAAGAGGCCCCCATGCCATCATACTCTTCCTCCAGCGATTCTCCAAACATTCCGAATTCATTATTGATGTTATCATATGAGTGATCCCCATCTTGAACTTCCAGGACACTGTTGGTATGATTGCCTGTGCGATGCTGGGGAGGAATCACTTCCGCGAACTGCAAAACATCAACAATGTCACACATATGACTATGACATGAGGATCGAGGCTGGCTCAGGTGTCGAGTGATGCTGCTCTCCTTCGCAAATGTTTTCCCGCACTTTGGGCATGTTAGTGACATCGAAGATATCAAAATATTCACACAAACTTTGTTGATACTCAACTAACACTGTTATGATGCCCCATCAGTATCGCACTGCAGCCTTTAACCCCCAACACAAATGTGATGCGGTATTTCAAACATTCCATAGTACTACATACCCTTCTCCAAGTCTCAGAGGACATTCACATGAGCCACGCAACCAAAGACCTCTTCAAACCATGAATCAATTGGTGTTCTATCGGCTTGACTTTGGTGAAGCATCATCAATCAAGGATGAGAACTTCCCTACCGCACTGCACCTTGTGAGTACCTTGCTTGCTTTTACTTGCCAGAACTCACATTCTGCAGCAAAGTGATTATGCCCCATTGGACGGAGAAATAGAAGGCGATGAACACTCTGATCTTGCGCTTGCAGCTGCCAAAGCTGAACGAAAGGTGTGTGAGGCTGAGAAGTACCTGGCCAACTGCATTTTGGCACACCAATTGGTGATTCTCAGCATCTGGCATCAGCACATCCAGGCTGCAAGTTCTCATTTGTTGACGGCAGAGCTCGAAGTTGGACACCTCCATACGGAGTGGAAGAAAATTGGTATCTCAATGTCCATGACTCGAAGTCATTCAGATGACACAACAGTGAGTATTCGTCCTCAATTTTGTTATTTGTGAATTTTGAAAGTATGTCTACAGACAGTCGGCACCTCATCCTCATACTAAACTCACATATTTGCCTGAGTTAGGCTTGCATTCACACCATCTAAAAATTCTCGAGTTGGGCCCACTGAAGTTCGCATAACGGGACAGAGGCAGAACATATGTAGAGCTTTTTTCTTCGACCTTCGTATAGTACTATAATTCTATTTATGATGTAATTACTTTGTTGCCTTGTAGTTCTTGTATTGCTCTGTGGAACCTTGTGGAACATTAATGGGTTTCAAAGTAAAGTCTAACAAGGTCAAAGGTATACTTGTTCAAACTTTGCAAACACTGCGGCAATATTCGAGCTCCGCATGAAATATTCATGTCAGTGATCAATCTGATTATAGAATGTTTCGAATAGAAAATCAATAAGCCTATAGCTTGATCCTTCACGGTGTCACCCTTCGTCTTTCATCCTGATGCACATTTCAGAACGTAAACGGGTACTTCAGGCTCTCCGAGAAACCAACCAGAGCATGCAGCTTGCTCAATACCTCGAACTAATAGATATGTTAATGGACGATGACTCATCAAGTGAGATCACTGGCGAGTCTGAATCTGACGACAAGGCGGAATTAGAGTCTAGCTCTGACTCTGGCTCTGAGTCTGATATATCATTGAACATCAGCATGGAATCCATTTCCTCCATAAGTTCTACCAACTCTTTTGATACTTGGATGTCCTTTGACTCCATCTGGGATGAAATTATGCCGTCCTCCAATTCCACAGACGCCTCCAGGCCTGTATTCAGTAGCCGAGTCTTTATCGAGTTCAGTGACACAATACAAGCACTTGAAGATGAAGTTGAAAAAGCACGTACTCTCATTTCTCGGCCCAAAGCCACACATGCACCGCAGCTCCATCTACTCAATGAGTGGAGATTAGAAAATCCTCAGAGGTTTTGTCGCAAACTCCGAGTCGACCCCAACATTTTCATTGAACTCGTCAATAAAATCATCCATCATCCGGTTTTCTGCAATAATTCTAACAACACACAATTACCTGTTCCTGTTCAGCTGGCGATTTTTTCGAATGGTGCCAGCCACTATGGAAATGTGGCAACAGCTGAAGATATGGGTGACTGGGCAGGTGTTTCGGTCGGGACGGTGTATAACTGCTACCGGCATGTTATGGTGGCAATCCTGCAGCACCATGACAATGTTATTCACTTCGACCCGCTGGAAGCTAAGGATCAAATTGAGATAGATCGTGCGAAGGACTGGGTAGAAGAGCGTACATGTCCGGAATGGCGTGGCGGATTTTTGTGTGTTGATGGCACACCCTTCAATGTTTACCAGAAGCCCGGATGGCACGGAGAAGGTTTCTTTGACAGAAAATCGAATTACTCACTGTCAGCACAGGTAAGTGATCAAGAAACAAAATTGAAAATTCAATACTAACCTTACATTAGATTGTGATCATGCCTCACAACCTTCATATCGTTGACTACGTGATAGGGGTCCCAGGAAGTCTCCATGATGCCAATGCCTTCTCAAGAACATGAATTGCACGACATCCTGAAAGTTTTTTGGGAGCAGATGAGTGGATCTGGGCTGATCGGCTTATGCATCACGTATGTGGTGTGTTGTCCCTTTTAAACGCCCTGCAGCTGGTGGTCTGAGGCCTGATCAAAAAAAATTTAATACACACCTGTCGAAAGTAAGTCATTGAGCACACAGAGACCTGCATATATGCTCATACCTAAAATGAAGGTACGTGTTCATTCGGAACATTGCTATGGTTCCCTCAAAGGACGGTTCCAATCACTTCGTGAGCTTAGGTTTCAAATACAATCACAAAAAGACCTCAACTATGCAAACATGTGGACCCGTTGTTGCCTTATTCTTCACAACCTCATTATCGAGATTGAGGAGGAGCTAGGAAAGAAAAGTACCAATCCACACTTTTGCGAGGAGTCGCAAGGGCAAGGAGATAGAGACATAGATGAGGAAGCCGGTGGTGGTGATGAGGGGTTTATCGGAACAGATGGCCAAATTTTTTGGAACACATTGATGGGTCGCTTGCTTCATAGCAGAGTTTAGGTGCAGTGCACATCGAGAACGAGTCTGAAAGATAACATGTAGTCATAGTACAGCATTGCAAGTACCAAGGATATAATTAGCAAGAATAACGAGCATTGAAGATGAAAACAGACACAGGTACAGACATGAACAAGCACAAGATCAATTGGCGTCATCATCAGTAGTACCGTCCATACCAAAACGCTCCATTGCCAAGTGACGATACTTGGCCTCTTCGAGTCTGATCTCTAACTCCAGTTGCCTTGTCTTGTCCTCGGACATGGCACGTTCATGACTATGAGTAGCAATGAATCTGCGTGCATCATGTTCACGCTCAGCATGAGCTTCACGGGCCTTTAACTCCTTTGAAAACTTAGCATAGTCAAACTTCATCCGCTTGCTCGAGGCTTTGGAATCCGACTTATCCGGCATGTGGAGTAGGAGTGAGTCAGAGGCATCAGCTAGCTTCTTCGTAAGCTCTGCTCCTAAATCGCGTGGCCGCTTGCGAGATTCTGATGCTGTCACAACCCAATAACGAATTAACGCTGGGCAGGGACTAGGACTCAAACAACAGAATAATCACAAAGAGGAGATGGGCAGCAGGTATGTCTTGGTATTGCTCACTTGGAGATACAAGAGGTTTGAACTAAAGAACTACTGACTATGATGAGCTACCTATATACACATATTGAAACTGAGATCGAAACTGAGTATGAACTAACTAACCAATCAGAATAATTAAAGGTATCGTACGATTCTATATATAACTATGATGTCATAACATGTGCCGCAGCCGCAGTAAGACTCTGGAACATTCCAAGAGTATCGCGAGGCATGACGTCAACATCTTCGGCATTGTCTGATAGATCACGTGACTCTGGTAATTCTACAATAGACGCAATAATAGGAACTTCTTTGATAGTAAACATATTCTTAGGAACAGGCGCTGTGACTGGGCGCTTAAAGGACTTAGAATTAAGGAATGAATAATGATTTGTATTTGGAACTCGTGACAGATGCTGAACAAGTATTAGACCCAGATGCTGATGGACGGTGAGAGGTGGCTGGACTTCGACCACATAGGCCACTGCAACTAGCTTTACAAGAGTGCATAGTCAATGACTTCATCACATCCTCAATCCTCTCTGAGTCACCACCAGAAGACTCAGGTTGACACTCCATGTCGGTGAAGAAGTTGTCCTCGTTAGCATGTGGAGGTGGAGAGTCTGGTGACACTGCATGTGAAGGAATCTGAGTAGTATGTCTTGGTGGCGAGTCCAGTGAGATATCTGGAGGCTGATTGGTGTTAGTTGGTCGAGCCACAGCAGGATATGAAGGTGAAAGGCTGTAGTGATTGAGGCAAAGATTTAAGGGGGGCAATGGTGATGTTGTCGAACTTGGTGAATCTAATGACGATAAATCGGTGACTGAAATTTGAGGTGATGGGATGCAAGAAGAGGTACGATGCTGCAAAAATGAGGGCTTGTTCGAATGGCTGAGGTCACTGTAGAGGTCATCATCACTTTCAATTGGTGGACACGAAGCTCCAGCAAGTGTTTCCCCCCCACCAAGTGGTTGTTCAAGAATTTCTCCTGGCTCTAGATCTTCATCGTCAAGATCCCTCTCACCACTACCCTTATCTTCATCGTGCGGAGCTCCAGTAAAAAATTCGAGTGCCTCGCTGGCAAAATCTTGACCAGGGTCTGCTGTCGAAAATGCTGTATTGTAGGATGGATTCGTCCTCCACCATCCATGGAGGTCAGACCACCATGGAAATTGCAGAAGAAGCTGAGCTAGCGCCAGATCTCAGGACTTCATTAACAAACGGTGAAAAAATGCATGTACCAACAAGATTTTTAGTACGAGGGTCTGCATCCAGCTCCTCGACAGACTTGACTCCAGCCCCTGTTTGGCCAAGGCCTTTGTTGACAGCATTGTGCTTTTTCGAAGCCTAAAAAATCTAGTCAATCACGCCACTAGATCCAGAACCAAATGATAGTAGACATATGAGATGAACCGACTTTCAACAGGTTTGATGAAGCTAAGTGGGTGCTCCTCATATAATGCATGAATGGTTGGATCTTCATCAGTTGGTAAAAATCAGCAGCAGCCAGCTGCTGGATATGGTTTTTCTTCTGGGTGGACATCTGCTGTCGTGGTCGACCCTCTTCCTTTGCATCTTTGGGTGAGTCAGAGAACAGCTTGATCCGAGCTTCATCATTGGCCTTGCACCACTCAATAAGGCGAGAGGTGCATGCTGAGTACCGTTTCTCCCAGTAGATTGCTGGGATCTTCGTATTTGATGTTACTTTCATGTTGGAGGGTTGGGGGGACTGCGAGGAAGCTGGGGCTGATCCATGGCTGGCACGACCTCAAGCTCTAGTATTACTGACTTCCCGTCCACAGATGTTTGTGCCTCATGCAGACATAGAGGTTGATTATAGTGGTAGACAGTGGCGACGACAACGACAATGATGGCAGTGCGGCAGTGCGGCATGCCATCGGAGTTTCTTTGTTTGCGTGTTTGGCTGCATCATGAATGTTTCGGCTACTAGCCGAAACATGCAGCCAACACTTTGAAACCCATTATTGTGAAACCTGTAGTACTGTACCCATGTACCATCTATGGACTTGTATGGCTCTGTATTGACATGTTGTTTCTGTAACCAAATTTGTAGTTTCCTGATGTATACTTTTTTCGCTTGGAATATATGACTTACTTTTGCGCAACTTTTGCAGTGCTTTCTTGTCCTTGTTTACTGCGCGCTTCTTTTCAGCCTTGTCAACATAATGCACCAAGTAAATAAATGTAAATAAGTCGTAAATAAGTTTCAATGTTCCAAAAAAAGTAGTGCCAATAAATGTGTGAATTTACTGATGAATGTTAACTTGTTGCCTACCAAGAATGCGAATTTACACTACAAATAATAAATTGCTGTATGCACTGGTGATTATGTGAGTATCTGTGGCCATCTGGTGCCATTGTCTGCAAGAGGACTGTGTGTGCTGTGTGAGTTGTCGCAGCTGTGTAAGTCTGTCAATGCTTGGCTGCTTAAGCCAAAGTTTGTGAGAAAATTGGGGCGTAGCTATTTTGACACAGTCCTGCTGCGCCTGCCGCAGTTGTGACGCGGCACTAATGATCCTTGATGCGGCCACTGACACGCCATTCCTATATTCTACATTCAACTTCCAGATCAAGTTGGATGAGTTCACGACCATTCTTTTGTTGTTTTAGTTGCCTCAGAGCCATGTACAACTAGGTATACATAAGCCAATGAACTATTTTCTTTTCCTCCCTCTCTGGGCCCTTCGGGCCTGTGGAGCACATCGACATTTAACGGGCGGACATTCTTCGGCCAGCAGAGAAGGAACTACAGCTTTGGATAGCTCGTCTGCAGACTCAAAAGATGTAGCATCAGAGTTATCACTGAATAAGGGGCCGCACTGTCAATCACATAAGTTAGATATCTATCGAACGGAGCAGGTAATGTCTTCCTCACTTCAAGTTCACTCTCACTATAATCTCTTGCAGAACCCATTCATCAGGAATTCCGAGATACACATTCCATCGCCTGTGATGTTGGCCAGCATCCAAACCCCACTGCTGGTTGCCTGCAGGTCCTGCTTCTTCGGAATCCTCAAACATCCTTGCTTATAGTGCGGTCAGACACTCGAGGTTGACATCAGCCATGAAGCTATTGGTAGGATAGTTTATCATGAGATCAGCCCAAGCCATCTTCAACAGCATGCTATTGTTCCATTCTTCGTTTCGAGCTTCAATGTGTTTTTCAAAATCACTGGCCTTTCAATGAGCAACCACAAGAGTGAAAGCATGCACCAAAGGCATGCCACCAAGCCATTTTTTGACTTGACCGGAAGCACCAGGAACATTCTCCGAGAACCAATGTCTTTTGATACTTCCGCTGACATAAAGTTTTGAATCAAGTCTTCTTCGCGAGGGGTATCCCAAGAGTGGATCCATTCTCTGAGCTACACAATACTTCGTGTCAAGAGGACTGCGAGTATAACCAGTCACTGTCACTCACGCAAATCTCACGCCTCTTAGCTTGGTCCTGCCAAAGTTCATCCACGAGATCTCCTTGCTCAACATCACCAGGAGGTGATCCCAAACTTGATGGGAATCTGGAACCGCACCACCAGACCACCTGCCAGCATACTCGGTTGCGTGCACTAGCAGGGAGACTAACAGTGTCATAGGACTGATCCCCAAAACTCAGCAGCAGACCCGGCCGATCTGGATCATTTTGATTCTCTGTCTCGTTCGGATAGAAAAAGTTGAATATATGTTTGATTAATTGCTAAAAGATGATTATAACAAGTTTACTCCATATTTTAAAGAACTCACAAAGGCCATGATACAATTCACAAAAGCGCGATAATAAGGGTTGTTTCTCGAGCCCAGAGGAGACAATGAAAGAATGCTTAATAAAATAAATTTATTACTGCCTATGGACAATTACAGTGTATGATGTCTAATTCTGTCAGGATGAAAAGGAACACTGTTAGAATATCAATTATTATGACAGATGTAAAGTAAAATATACCTAAGTTATACGGACAGTGTGACAGTTGAGGTGGTGAGGTTTGACCCGGCATGTGGAGGTGGTGAGGTCTGACGCGGTATGAATGAAGTTTGACATGGCGTGACGCGCGGGTGATGCAGCAGTGACGAGGTTTGACGCGGCATGACGCGCCTGTGACGCGGCACTGAACCGGCATGGAGGAGGTTTGACGCGGCAACTGACGTGGTATGTGCTATGGTTGATGCGGCACTGTAGTAGGCCTTGATGCGGCATAGAGTGTAGATGTTGATATAACGATGATTCAAAGTGTTTGGAATGCGATATGAAGTTGTGTAAACATGATCTGTACATAGGAATTTTTTACAGTGCTGCATCACATATGCCGCGTCACAGGCGCGTCACGACCGCGGCAGGCGCAGCAGGGCCGCGTCAATTTCACCTGGCCCAGAAAATTGTGGTTTACTGATGTACCTGAAGGAGTAGGCGAAGCTTGAGCTTGCCCTTGGATGGAGGAGGGGCCTGGTAATTGAAGATTTAAGTGCTGGAATGTCATATTAAGAGGCGAAAAATTCTAATTTAGATGTGACACAGGTGAGCGGGTGGGAGTAAAGAACGATTGGTACGAAATGTGCTAATAGACAATGAGCTAAACAAGTGTAGTGGTGCTAATTCAAGTGCGCAAAGAGTGGTGAGGAAGGAGACATCTCGCTCAGTTGGACGCATGGTCCTGACTCTCTGGCAGGCTCCGAATCAGCACCTTACTTAGTGCTAGACTGGTGACCAGCCCATCTATGAGGCAAACTGTCAATAGACGGACTGGTACAACTGGGTTTGAATTTGGATCAAGAGCGGATTCTCAGGATAACGTGATGTATAAACATTTTCTGGAATATCAAAGCCACGTGAACTTTTGCTAAGGCCTTTGCAAGTACTGCTAAGTTTGATCGATGTGCGTGCTGTTCGACACATTAATGTTTTAACATTCATATCAGACTTGTTCTATCACTTCTTGTATATTTATTCTGCTTTCCGTATTCAACCTACTACTCGAAGGATGCCGGTCTCTTCGACAGTTCTCAATGAGAACTTCAATTGATCTGTTGAATGGCTTCATAGACATTACAACAGGTCTCCCTGTGGCTGCCGTGGCAACTCCATCACGTCTCTCACCTCACGAACATGTCAAATCTGTTGTCAAGATCCTCAGAGAAGGCCGCATGTCAATCCTGGACTTTATCCTTCGAATTCTCGACCCATCACAACCTGACTTCATGTACAACCGTGACTGGATATACAACCCTTCTAAAGTGGAGAAAGAGAACTCTGGTGATGGACAACGTGTACTGGGCAAGCTAGAGCAAATGTTTGACCATTTGTTTGCGGACTCACGGGGTCGAGTCCACATGCTAGAGTGGTTTCATCCTCACTGCGGTCGCTTACATCTCCCTCACTGTCAGCAACGAGATGGACGCAGTAAAGGAGGCTCTCCATGGGACACTTGATTCTGTGACGCTGCAATTCCTCTCGATGTGGGACCTCAGCACTACTATACAAGACAAGGTCACACTGAAAGCACCAATCTTACATAGTGAAAATGTTATCGTTTATTTTGTATTCTACAATACTTGTTGAAAAAACCTAATTTTTTTATTGGCTAGAGGTCACGTTATCCTGAGAATCCGCTCTTGATCCAAATTCAAACCCAGTTTTACCAGTCCGTCTATCGACGGTTTGCCTCATCATCAGCAAAAGTGGCGCAAGCTGACAAGGCCTCAGCAAATGCCGTAAGCCTTGTGTAGAGTTCCAAACATGGCTACAGGCCTTACAGGCGTCGTGCCAGGCATTGTAAGGCTCCCAGATGTCACAAAGTAATGTTATAACCACGTCACTCGCACATGTATGTATGCAAGAATTATCAATACAATAGTAATGTAATATGATATTTCTTCCCTCACACGGCTGAAAGACAAGTCTTTCCAATGCATTCTAATACTCAGCATAGTCACCATAATCCTCTTCGGTATCTGCGGCACCCTCTCCGTCCTCAGCACCAAGAACGGCATCATCTAGTTCATCCTGCGAGCCTTCCTCCTCTGAGCTGTCATCTGATAACAACTGCTCCTCTAGGTTACCATAACCAAACTCACTGCGCTCGTCATCCAACACTGAACCATCCTTGTCATCATCAGCCTCCTCATCCGATTCCTCGTCTCCATCAATCAAATCTGTGTCGAACTTGTAAGTAGCACTCTGTAAGTTCTCTGCTTCTTCAAGCTCATCTTCCGACTCAGACCGGCTTCCTGTACAATCCATATGCTCCTCACTGGAACTGCTGATGCTGCACATGTCTGCATCTGCCGGTGTGTCTCCACGATCATTGCCGGACTCTGAGTCGATGTCCTCATTCATCAGCGAACCTGGTATGTAAAACATACCGGTGCGCTCGCTTTCTTTTGTAAACGGCACTGAGTCAAGTGCATCTCAGTCCTTGTAGAAGCTTTCTGTCGCCTCTCGTGTGGTCTTATGTCCGACACCACCACTACGGAACCGCATGAACATGTCGCAGGTCTACAAATCTAAAAAACAAAGTAAGTCAGCCATTTGTTTTGCAAGTAAAAAAAACCACCGACTGGTTGACGTAGTACCAGCTATAATCTGTGTCACCTTCACAAGCCTGTCGAGCGATTGATGGAGGAAGAAGGTTTGCGGTGGACCCATGTGCGAATCCTGGGATCACATGGACACCGCGAATCACTTGTGCAGGGTTGACAAATCCAAAAGCATCTGCTCCAACCTCGTTGGCATCATAAAACCCAATCTGGTGCAGCCGACTGTGCAGCCCAGCCTGATTTATGATTAGAGTCTCGACAGAACCAGCGCACCCATAGGAAATCGACACATCGTGAAGCCCGGTCATCAGAATCTGGACCAAGATACCTGGCATATACGTGAAAAATGCTGATAATGCGTGCATACCAATATGGGTGAGGAGCGAGTTCACCAGGTTCACTTTCCTCATTGCCTAAGAGCATGATGTCTGCATGTGTACATGGATTGAGTGAATCTTGAGCTCTTCGAAGGTCATATGTTGTGTAGTTGACACAGAGTACTTTGTGTTTATAGATCTTATTGTCGAGGATGATGAGTGAGTTCCGCTGCACAACAGTAAATGTGCGTTCCTCAGAATCATCATTACCAAGAAAACAAGTAAGAATATGGTCCTTGAGCCGCGGTAAAAAATCCCATGCAAAATCAGATAGACCAAAACCCACAGTGACTGATAGTTACCTTCACTGCAAGGTCCTCGTGGTTCCTGTGCAGCCATGAAGTGATGTCCTTGTTACGCACTCAAATAGATCTGTTATGCGGAGCCCTAAGAGGGGCGTCGTCCGCTAATGTTCGTGACGTAACCGGAAGGGTCCGGTGTAGCGACTGAGACTGGCGACGTCGAGTCGGCAGATATCAGAGACGCACGTGTCACGTGACTTCTAAGACGGATGTCTTCAAAGTCACTGACGTTCTCAAAGTAAGGACAGTCTTGTCCGAACGATGAGTAGTCGATTGAGGTAGACTTAGGTGCAATGAGCACCTAATAAAAAGATACTAGAGACTGAAGCTGAGGGGGCTTCAGAGGGAAGTATGTTCGAGGGAAGATTGAGTAGATTCAAGTTAGGGAATCTAGTACAGAGTGACCGACTACTTATACTAAGTGGAAAGGGTTAAGGGCAAGGCTACCGTACTGTAGGTAAGGGCAAAGGGGAAACGGAAAGGGTATAGGTACGCTGGTAGCAGAGCCTGATTAGTGATGTAAGGTCGAATGCGGAATGAGACCGAGAAATGTTGGAACGAGCCAACAGTAAATGATACAATGTGCAGCATGCACGAGTCAAAGGAAAGATAAGACAAGATAAGGAAAGCCACATTGGTGGCACGAGTCAGAACGAGTCATAGCCCGAAGGCACGTGCGCACATTGGTGCGATAGGAGGGGGACGAGGGACAGGAACGGTCCCGAGGATCCGGTCAATGGATAGTCGGTAGAGAAGTACGAGCCGGAGGCATACGAGGGCGAGGACGAAGGAAAAATGATAGGGGGGCCATGTAGCCGATGTTACTTGTAACATTACCCCCGTTTCAAGGTAGAGTTCCACGAACTCTTTAATCATCGTCCAGGGGGACATAGTCGTCCTGGTTGTTATACCACGCGGGGTCGAAGTCGAGGTCTTCGAGCCAGGAGGTGGCTTCAATTGTGTTCTCTTCGCGTTCTTGCTCAAGGCGAGCAGCGTCCTGGTCATACGCAGCTTCGAGCTGCTGCATGTCCCTGTAGAACCGGTCAGAAGAGGTTCCACGGCGAAGGATCTTTCTGCCGTCGAGTCGAGGGCAGAAAGGAGTGAGATGTTTTGGGGCAAATTGCCCACAAATGCGGCAGAAGTATTGCGCGCAGTGTTTCTGTTTGTGTCCAAAGACATGGCACTGGCGGCAGACAACGTTGCTGCGGTAGACCTGGGTGGTCTCGGTGGCATCATGACGCGCGTCGTTGATGGCGTCTTCCTGGGCTTCCTCGCGAGGATAGTGCCTAGTGAAGTTCTGGGTGCGCGGGCGATGCGCATGGGAGAGGGGTAGTCCTAGGGACAGGATGGATCGTGCACGAGCACGGTGATTTCGGCGTTGTGGAGTGGGAAGAGGTTCCGGAGAACCAATGGAGAGGTGTGGGACTACTTCAGTAGGTACCCAATCGTCGGGGTTGATAACAGGTGGTTCGGGAGGACACTCATCCAACTCTGGGATGACGATAGAGATGGTGTCGACATCAAGGATGGGGGAGGGGTTACGTGGAGCATAGAGCTCGCGTTCGTATTCGTTGTAGAGACGGTCGATCTCGGGATTGGTCAACTGGGTGACGTTGGGGATGTGCTCTGGTGATTCAGAGCGGGGTAGTTGGGGAAGGAAGGGGGTCGGAGCTCTGTCATAGACAGCACGCTCGACGACTGCAAGCGGGTCGGGAGGGGGATTAAATGCCCGCTCCTCCTCGACGGCCATGACAGCGGCATGGAAGTTCCTGAGCTCAAACAAATTTAGCAAGGCTTGCTTGATCTTGCCTTGGTTATATCTGGTCGAGACGGTGGATAGGGAAGTCTCCCTAGCCAGGTCGATCCTGGCGATATCGCCGGTGAGGGCGTCGGTGGCCCTGAAGGTCTGGACGAGGTTCATGGTTATGTCGTCGTTGGTGCGGTTGAGATAGTTGTCGAGTCGAAGTGCATACTGGGGGTCGCAGATGACTGCTTCCCAGTAGGCCCGTTGCCTATCTTGGACAACTGAGCGAAGGGATGGTTGTCGGAAGACGGTATATCCCGGGGGGGAGGGCCCATCATGGCCAGGCGTTGGCTGGCTCGTCAGGTTGCGGTCGGAGGCAGACGCATGAGAGGTAGCGGATCGGTGCGAGGAAACAGACGACGCTGAGACCGACATAGTGAAGCGTCTTTCCTTGGGTAGTGGCGTAGGTGGGGTATTGGGTAATGGGTCGCTGTTTGTCAATGGGTTTGGATTTTGTGGGGCGGTGGCGATTGCAGATTCGTTGGCGATGGAAGGTTTTGGTGTCGGTGTGGATGGGTTCGTCGGTGGGGTCAGCCCTAGTGTAGTGAGGGCGGTAGGAGAAGTTGCAGTGGCGTTTGTTGATCAACATGAGATGGCAATTGAAGCGATCTTGAGTCGCTTCTTATACACCTTCAGGAGCTCCGCTGCGGACTTCAATTCTGTTTCGGGGAGCCACGTTCGTTCGGAGGCAGGATAGCCAACCCAAGACACGAGGTACCGGCGACGCGATCCGGTACCCTTGTGTTGGAGGATAGCTTCCACTTCGTAGTGTTCCTCTCCATCGATAAGATCAGGAGGAGGTTCGGTGAAATTCGGTCCATGCACGTCTGTCTCCTGATAGGAGGAAAGTTCCGAGGCATGGAACGTGGGGTGGATACGCCAGCTGGCAGGCAGCTTTAGCTGGAACGTGATGGGGGAGAGGACCTTCTGGATTGGGAAGGGTCCATATCGTTTCGGGGCGAGTTTCCTAGAAGGGAATCCGGTGATTAGGTTCATGGCGGATAGCCATACCTTATCACCAACGTTCCATGGCTTGTAACGCTGGCCATAGGAACGATCAGCCATGCGTTGCTGCGCGAGGCTGTGGCATGCAAGGGCTTCTTCGCGGATTTTGGCGAGTGATTTGACTCGGTCTTCGGCGGTTGGTAGGGTAGAGTCAGGGAATAGATGGGGGATGCCTCGTGGTTCGTAGCCCATCATGAGATAGAAGGGAGAGGCATTTCTGGCAGAGTGTCGTCAGGAGTTATGAACGAATTCGGCCATAGGCAAGTGCTTTGCCCATTCGGAGGGGGTCGTCCGGCAGTAGATCCGAAGGTAGGTTTCGAGCTCTTGGTTGAGCCATTCGGTCTGGCCATCTGTCTGAGGGTGGTAGGCAGTGGAGAGTGCGACTTGGTAGTCGAGGAGTCGTCCTAACTCTTTTGCTAGCTTCGAGGCGAATTGGGGGCCTCGGTCCGAGATGATCTTGTCATAGAGTCCGAAGCGCATGAACACTTTCTTGAAGAAAAGTTCAGTTACTCCTTCCGCTGTGATGGTTTTTCTGCAAGGGCAGAGAATTACCCCCTTCATAAGCCCATGGTCTACCACGACCATGACAGAATCGTAGCCGGCGCTCTCGGGGAGGTCAGTGATTAAATCAACTGAAACCTGAGCGAAGGGCCGAGGAGGGTATCGGGGTGAGGGGAGGTGTCGTGGGGTGGGTGTTAACCT